TTAGTTATTATTAATTATTGCTGCTAATTATTATTACATTATTCCTAAATCTATTATTATAATAATAACGTCTATTATTATTATTATTATTATTATAATAATTATTATTATTATTATTATTATATTTATAATGTAAAAACACGACGTATATTTAACGTCGATCATAACGCGCGCGCGGTACTCTCTATATTGTCAATTAATAGTTATCGCTTTTGACCAGTTTATTGACGAATAATTCTTTTTTATATCAATCGTGTTTCGGTGAAAAGCGACATAACTGTTTTAAAAAAACTGTGTTATTGTGTCTCGACTTGCATGGGATTAGATCAAATTAACATCAGGACAAAAAATTAACGATATAAGAACTTTAAATGTATCTATTGTCATTCTTTATATGTATAAAAATTATGAATTCGATATAACTGGCAAAAAGTAAAAAAATTCAATTACACATTTTAAAAAAAAATCGATACCTTAATGACTCATAAGTTAATTACAAAAAAAAGAACACAAAATTTTATTAAAAAAAATATAGAAATTTCTATGTCCTGGAATTTCACTATAGTTAATGAGTAGTAAAAACATAAGATGAAAATGGATGAAAAAACGAAGCACAGCACAGAGAATGTAGTTACGGCGTACATATAATATTCCAGTCTCTTTCGGTTACGAGCCACAGTTCCGCAAGTGTAGAATTTTGAGCAAAAGATGAAGAAAGCATGGAAATCCACATTGATGGTGTAATAATAACGAATGCACTTTTGGATAATTTCAAATAAGTATAGGCGAGAATATGTATGCGTAGACGTGAAAGATTAATAATCCAAAAAAGATAATACTTCCGTCATGGACAGTGATTGTAATTAAATAATGAATTGTGGAGTTAAAAGCGTGAGCGACCTTTACTCGGTAGAAATAAAAATAAAAATCTGTGTATCATCGTGAGTCTTTTTCGCAATTCTTCGCTCCTAAGCGCACACGCGGTTATTAATAATTATATAACGATTTTGAGAGAGATAAAAAGTGAAAGCACTCGTGACAAGTATAAAAAAGGGATTTTTAAAACTTCAGGACCCTTGTTCGATGTAAATAGAAAAAGGGAAAAAGTAAGAATCGCAAAAGATAATGCTGTATGTAAAAGCAATTTTCCCTTAAACAAGGTTTTTAGACTTATACGGAAAAAACAGCCATTATATGCGACGAAATTAGCAAGATGTTGAGAAAAATCTTTAAACAAAAAACAAATTTATTCTAGTGATAAGGGTAATGCGATACGCGAAAATTTTGAGCTTCCGTTGCGATACGGTTCGATCGTTCCGTCGTCCGCGGATACTTTGATAAAACCTCGCGTTAATGTCCTTGGACATTCAAAAATGACGATAAAATAAATTCTTACATTGTAAATAACCGCATTCTTTGCACCGCTCTGTGCGAATGAGGAATCTTATATTTGGTCTTTCTACAGCAACACGAAATATAAAAATAAAACATACAAACGAAATTCAACGGAACGTACCGTGCGGACGGAAGATTTACGGAAACTTACATTAAAATTAAGATTTATAGAAATTATTAAATGGTTGACAAGATAAATGTGAAATAATGATGAAATACGATAAAGAAAAAATTGTGTGCGAATGATGAAAGAATATAAATTTAAGCGATTACTGAAAAACCGAGGAGAGAAAATTATTGCGAAAATGTTACGTATTAATGCGGCTGTACAAGAATTAGTAGAGAGAACAAAATTTTACTACCAAGTGGACTAGAATCGCAACCGATGGGCATTATTACAAGCGAAAATGAAATTATAATTAATGAGACGACGTTTTTTCGGAGCGTTTTTTCTAGATACGTTAAATGGAAAAAATGTATCCAAAATTGTACCTACTTTCATTTTATAAATGATATAAATATATATATATATATATACATACATACACGCAAAAATAAAAAATAAATATATATATATATATATATATATATATATATATATATATATATATATACACAAAAAATCCTATTAAATTATTATGTGAAATATAACATGTGAAAGGTCAAAAGATGATTATTGTATCAACGTTCGGAACTGATGAAAATCAAGATAATAGATATTAAATATTATATTCAAACCATGATGGTGATTATTATATACTTAAGTCATGAAAGGAGGAAAAAATAAGTAAAAATTGATAAAAATCATAATTAGCAGAGAGATAAAAAAAAACTTTTAGGCTATTCAAAACGCTGATAAAAATTAAACACTTTAATGTGCTATTGTATCGATCAAAAATGAAAAATAGCGAATATTCGTCTTTTAGTAATGTTTATTAGAAATTCATGATTGTACATTTGTAAAAGGAAAAGTTGTTTTTGAAAAAGATCATTGATGTACCTTGTTTTTTTCGTATGCATATATGTACATATATATATATATATATATGTATATATGTGCGTTTGCGTGTGTGTGCGTGTGCATGTGTATGTGTATATATGTATATATGTATGTATATATATGCATATATGTGTCTGTGCACTATAGATATTCATAAATATATGGCGTTTGCATTTGAGCGTTCGCTTCGAGATCACAAATTGCACGGAGCTGCTCAATTAATATGCCTTTATATCCTGAAATTTTCATTACTCGAAAACATTTAGAGAGCAAGTTAAATTTTAACGGAAAAATTAACCTATGGATTATTGAAAGTGTAACGAGAGATTAAAGGCCTTTTGCAACAGCTCCTCGGATCTCGAATCGATTTATCATTGAACGAGAGAACTGTGCAAATATGAAAGAAAAACAGAAAAAGGGACGCAGCGTAACTATATCTCTCAGTGTATTCTCCAGCACGAGGAACTTTTGGTTGTTTTTTTTATTTGTAACAATAGGAAAAAGAATGAGAATAAGATGATATAAATGTTAAACTATATCTACTTGAATAAAACGACGCTGGAAACCAAGACGACACGATAAATATAGAATAATTCTTTCGTTCTCTATCATATCGTCCATTGTTATTAATCTGCAGAAGAGATAAGAGCAGAAAATGAAAAAACCTCTTCGCATAAAACAAAACGACACGTGATCCGTATTTTTTACACAGACTTCATTCTTTTACGAAAATTTATCTTCTTACACGCGCATTATCACTAGCAATGAAAAGGGCGATCGTCGACCTTACAAACGTTTATGAATACAAATATAAACCGAAAGCACATTATTGTTAAAAATCTTCGCTAGGGTTAACAAACTATTTTTTATTCATGTAAAGTAAGGTAAGACGGTTTTTAAATTTTTTTAACCGCTTCCTTCATATATAAACTATCACCATAATGAAGAAGTATCTAAATAAAAATGTAAATGCGATCGAGTCTCATTGACATCCCGACTAAAAAGAAACAACTACCAACTGACGGTCGTCATTTTCATAATGCGCGTGACAATAAATATTGTAAAAGAACAAAGGAAAAGCGATAAAATAATGGAAAGGAGTGAAGGTACGAAAACGCTTTTCCTCTGTTTTTATCCCTTTTTTCCTATTAACACAGCAAAAGAAGTATTCCTTCATAGGTCTTTTCTTATCTCCAATAATCCTTTCTTCATCCTCCATATACAAGTATCGAAGAAGAATACGATAAAGAAACAAAGAAGTAGAAACTCCCATTCCAATCGACCGCATTTCTCCCCTTCGTAGAATATATTTTGAAAATTTTTTTCTATTCCATTATCCTACCTTGCGAACTTAATTCCTTCCTAACCTGACCTCTCCAAATATTCTCTTTCAACTACTAGTGTGAATGAATGTTGAAATGAAAAAAAATTGTGTAAAAGGGAAGCATCGAGCAAAGAACGACTAAAGCACATACTCGTCGGACCGTAGGGACATTTTGCATTAATTGTGTAAACACGAGAACTTAAGGGAAAAATAAAAATGCAGAAGCGAAAACTAACAAAAAAATTTATCAACGTGCAAAATCACTTTTTATTCACTTATCGTCGCTCCTGTCCCATAATTAATACCGTTTCTTTTGTGTTCCTACACTTTATATCGAAGACTCTTTAATTTTAATTATTTTTCTTATATAAGTTTCCTTCTATTTTGCTATACCATTTTTCAATTTTCATTTCAACAAGTATAGCAGCGACTTATAAAAATAAATATGCGTTTTTCTGTGTTCGAGATGCTATATAATAATATTATTATACTAGCTATTAATTAATATTATTATTATTATTATTATTATTATTATCATTATCGTATGATTATAATTATTACTAGTTAATTATTAGTTAAAACCTACTGTTATTATTTTGCAACTGCTTATATTATCGACGCTCATTATTGTGGTTATAAATCATCGATACATTTTATTTTTATTATTATTTTTATTATTATTATTATTATTATTATTATTATCATTATTATCATCATCATCACTATTATTATTACATGGCACAATAAAAATTTAGTAAATGAATTTCAATCTTATTATTAATCTCGATTTTTTATCTCTTCCATTCATCAATAATCAATTCGATTTTAGCTAATTATTCCTGACCTTTACGATTATCAATTTTCTTAATGAGGTAAGTCTTTTAAGAATATTATCGAGATAAATATTATTATTTTATTTAAGAACTTATAATAAAAAATAATAATTATAAAATCATTAAATTAGTATAGCTAATGTTCTTTTCTAATCATTAGAAAAATTAAATTATTTATTCCAAGTAATTTGTCTAAAATTATAATTATATACCAAAAACCTTAGTACAAAAAAAGTGATAAATAGTAACATAAATGTTTCGAAATAAATTTAATATTAATGTTCTCTATTAATGCTACGATAATATAAGTAATGATTAAATTCTACAATATTACTATTTATAAGAAAATTATAATTGCTGAAAGTATCTTTTAAAATTTTAATAAAATGCCACGAAATCGACAACATGAATAATAACATGGAAGTGTCATATAGTCATGAAGTAGAAAAGTATCCTAACCTCATAAACTTTGAGATCGACCAGTCTTGAATTCAATTACTTCAACTAGTCTGCAAGTGCACATACTTTACCATTTATTGAATAAGCATATTCTAAGAGTAGTGAAGATATTAAAGTACAATAAAATAATATTGTCAAATAAAAGTAAAAAATGTAATACAAGCATTTGAAAGATTAAATAATTCTACAAGAACATAAGAATCCAGTAAGTTATAATCTATTGTATCAATACGTAACACTATTATGAATAATTGTATGTATATTCTACATTTTCTCTTTTAATTGTTTTGTAAATTATACACATATATTTAAATGAATTCTTACGTTAAAATTCATAGAAAATTACAGTAACTTTTTTCGATGCTTCGCTACTCTGTACGTCATAATCTTACCCACATCACAAACGCGCGGCAACTACACTGAATTCAAAATTAATAAATGAATTTATAAAATCTGTAGTGTCAGGCTATAAAAAAAAAATTTATATTTTTGCCTAAAATTAATTATTGATTATGAAACTGAGAATATACTAATTTTAATTCGCTTCAATTTAATAATAAAATTAATAAGTCAAATTTTATTTTATTTTAAATACAATTAATAAATAAGTTAACACGATAATAGATTTTATAGGTTTTAAGTAATTATAAATAAAAATAAATGTTAATTAACTCCCAGATTATCACAAATATAAAAATTAAATCTATATATATTTTTTTGTATAATTATTTTTTAACAAATTATAAAATTATATCATTATTTAATTCCTATAAAATATAGTATTGTATGGAATAACAAATTTTACCAAACTTAACCTTACAAAGAAAATATTAATTAATAATTATTTTTATTAAATTATGTTTAAATTTGAGACACCGGGGTATATTAATTTGAAAAATTAAGTCATATTATTTAATACAATTAGCAAACATGAATTTTTCCAAATCTCTTTTTTTTTCTAGAACAGATAGTATTAGACTGAATAATTATAAAGTATTCTAAAACCTATGCTAAAAAATGAACCAAAAACATAAAGTTCATTCATTGTTATAATAAGAGTACCTTGAAAAATGTTCTTTCTCAAAATTTTCTTTGTTACTGTTGTTGTTGTTGTTGTTGTTGTTGTTGTTGTTGTTGTTGTTGTTATAATATATAATTTTAAATTTTAAAAACAAATTTCATAATATGTTTATATAATCTTTTGGTTAGTTATTAAAATACTTAAACAATAGTTTTAAAGCTTTAAAATATATTTAAAAATTGCATTACATGTCCTTTATATATAAATTTTTATATGTAAATCTTATAAAAAATTTTTAATAATTCCATAAAATTGAATTGGTATATAAAATCCCTCAATAATCCAAATAAAGCATCCTATGCGCACATCATAAATAAAAAGTTTATCTGTTACACAGAATAAAATAAGCCCAAGAGTTATTGATTTGTTACACTTTTCGATTACATTTGCGAATGATAAAGTTGTTGGGTAGAAGCATCTCGAGCCTTATCACACAAGAAATTAACGTTTAAACTGATGCTCGTATATCTCTTCCAAGAGCATAGAAAAAAACAAGCACGAGAAGAGTGTAAAAAAGTTATTCGGTAACGTGAAAGTTACAGTGTAAAGATGACATTGTTGACTGTGTTCAAACAATTCAAGAAATTTCAAGATGCTGGAAAATCGGTAGCAAGATCGCTCTCCATTAAGGATGATCAAGAATCGAAAAAAACTTGCCTCTATGATCTACACATCGAGAATAATGGTAACGTTGTAATAACACACCTACATAAAATAACGTGCATTATTTTATGTAATTTTATTTATTTATATAAATGTAATGTATTTTATTTAAATTTTTCCTATTAATTAACTTGCACTACGTAACTATGTAAGAAAAGTAATAAGTTCGGAGATTCATAGGATCGTATATTACATGCGTAAGCAATTAAAGCTAATTATATAGTTATTATGTAGAATTTATACAATATTGTATAAATTACAATATTTTATTATTTAGAAATATACAATATTTGTAATAAAATAATACTTTAACATAATGGAAGTTCTGCTTTATGATAGATATTTATATATTTTGAATAATATATATTCTTAAATAATGTTAAATTATTATAAAATAAAAGTTCCTTGTTTCTTACACTAGTTATAGTTAATAGATCTTTTGTCCAATTAATCTCATTGAAACAGAGTATAAATTAAAAGAATTAATATAAAAATTTCATTATAAAACTTTACTTAGAACTATGTGGTGATAATACTCTTTAATAAAAGTGAAAACAAACCAAAAAATAAGAAGTAAATTACTTTAATTAATACAATTGCAGTCTATAAGAATGTGGACTTTACCATAATCACATTCTCCTATAATTATCTTACAAGCAATGCATACACATATTTTAAATTTCATCGATTTTTTTACGAATTCATCTACATTTATGTTTGCGTTTGTAGCCATTAAAAAGAACAAATCATCTTTCGTACAACGTTTAAAAATTAAATATTGAAAATGTCTGATAAACATAACGACATAGATAAACATAACGAACGTCATAATTTTATAATTTATAAAGTGAAAAATAAAAAAACATAAACTTACCTTAAAAAACCAAATTTGTAACATAAAAAATAGGGAAAATGGTGAATTTCTCCGGTTGGTTGCTCCCGATACAATACCGGGATTCAATCACAGCCTCGCACCAACACACTCGTACCCACGCGTCACTCTTCGATGTCGGCCACATGCTGCAGAGTCATGTGAGCGGATGCGACTCGGGCGAGTTTCTAGAATCTCTCACGACCGCGGATCTCCAGAACTTGGCCCAGGGTGGCGCCGCACTTACAGTCTTCACCAACAAAAGCGGCGGTATCCTCGACGATCTTATCATTACGAAAGATCGAAATGATCGTTTTTTTGTAGTATCCAATGCTGGAAGAAGAAACGAGGATATAGAACTCATGTTGGGAAGACAAGTATACCATCTAATTTTACGTTTTCTTAATCAATCCACATAAGAAAAATATTAAAATATTCGTATCTGAAAGAATTTGTATTTGATAATATTTCGATTATGTAGAATTAAATTAAATATAATTATAACTTAAATTTAGTATCACAAACAAAATATTATTATTTGTAAGTGCAGAATTAATGGACGCACATAAAATAATTGGCAATAAATACCAAAGTGTATTATTATTACATAAACGAATAACCATCAAAAATTTCAAAATTTCACTTCAAGGCTGAAATGAAATCCCAAGGCAAAAACGTGACCATAGAGTTCTTGGATCCTTTGGAACAAGGTCTGATCGCTTTGCAAGGACCAAGTGCTGCGACAACTCTCCAGACCTTGGTAAAAATCGATCTTACAAAACTGAAATTTATGAATAGCGTGGAGACCAAGATCAATCAGAAGTCTGTGAGAATATCACGATGTGGCTATACCGGCGAAGATGGCTTCGAAATTTCGGTCAACGGAAAAGATGCGCGAACAATTAGCGAAATGATTCTTGAAGTACCTGATATTAAACTCGCTGGTTTAGGAGCGAGGGACAGTTTGAGGTGATTTTTTCTTAAGATAAATTTTTTTTTGCATTTATAACCATTCATCAATTGTTAAAATCTTTTGTTAAATATGTATATATATATATGTTTAATAATTTAAATGAATTGATACTTCTGTTAAATAAATATATATACAGATATCGCGCGTTTATTATAAATAGTAAACATAAAATTACGGAAACAGCGTCTTAACAGGCATTTAAATATATTAAAACTGTTTCAGGCTAGAAGCAGGATTTTGTTTATATGGACATGATATTAATGAGTCTATAACACCTGTTGAGGCTTCGTTGCAATGGCTAATTGGTAAGAAACAGTGATTTAAAAAAAAATTTTTGAGGAAAAATTTAACGTATATTTATAAATAGTTCTTAGTTAAAAAAATAGATTTCACATATATTTCAAATTATATTATGACAATTATATTTTCCAAATTAAAGTATTTCATTGAAAATGTCAAGTTTTCATAAAAACACTATTTTTGGTCTTTAAGTAGAACATGTTAAATATTTGATTAAATCCATTTCTATAGTTAAACAAATATAAAGGCTAAATAATAACGGATTTTGAAATAATTTATTAACGTTAATTTATGATATAAAAGAAAGACATTTCCAATGTTCACAGCAAAGCGGCGTCGAGAAGCAGCGAACTTTCCGGGTGCAGAATTCATTCTCGAGCAAATAAAGAATGGACCGAAGAAGAAACGCGTGGGCCTGATCCTCGGCCAAGGCCCACCAGCTCGCGAAAATGCAACGATATTGACATCGGCGGGCGAACGCGTAGGCATAGTGACCTCGGGAGGTCCAAGTCCCACTCTTGGCAAACCCATCGCCATGGGTTATGTGCCATTGGAACACGTTCACACCGGCACCCCCGTTCTCACTGAAATCCGGGGCAAAACATACAAGGCCCTCATAACGAAGATGCCTTTTGTTAAACCACATTACTACAGCGACAAAAGATAACTTGTGGAAATCTAAATCTGGTCATCTGTATATAATTCTTAATTCGAATTTATTGCGCAATAATTTTATATGCTATTTTTTCAATAGATACGTACTGAAAAATGTATTTGAACGAACATTTATTTTAACTATCCTTTTTACTTTAAGTGAGCATTCATTAATACAACGATACTACTAATTGTTTTTTAGTACAACAATTGTAGTTAATATTTATTAGTTGCGAAATATTTTATAACAATTGATGTATCATCTTTTAATTCGATTCGCTACTTTAATTCAGAAAAGTTTCATGCAATTATACAACGATTATAATTGTAGTTGTTTTAAGCAATTAAATTTGTTATAAAAATGACATTGTTTAATAAATTCCCTTTTTTATTTTATTTATTTTAATTGAGTATTATCTGTCTAAATATTACAAATGATTTTTTTAATTAAAAGATGAAGACAAATCATTCATTTAACACAAAAACTAACGACAATTAGTAATTTCACATAAAATATTTAGGGGTACATGTTCAGAACCACGTTTCTTATACTTATATTACCTTTATGAATTCTTAATAAAATATTATGGTACAAAAAAGACATAGATTGATAGAAATAAAAAAAAAATAAATTAATCGTCTAAAATAAAATTAATACTATAATCAATATTAAATGCGATAAAATATCACTTAGCAGTAGAAGGTATTAATGTATTCTGCATTATCATCTTTTACAAAATAGTATGTTTTGAATGCTTACTAACAGATGGCACCTAATCTTTATTAACAACTAGTATATACATTTACTAGGGATGAGTGAACTAGATTGTTAATTCACTTAGATGTAGAATAGTTAAGTCTTCCTTGAACTTTTGTTTCAAGCAATAGAAAAATGGCTGAAGGTATGGAGATGTCATATTTCGATTTACGAGTGGTACACGACTATTTTGATCGTGCACTCCGTGAGGAAGATAATGTTGATATCAAGGATTATTTGGAAGCTTACAATGAACTCTACAAGTGAGTAGCGATGCGTTTGATTAAATAAGTAAATATATTAACTATGAATCTATTTTTTTCATATAATGCAGAATGAACAGTTACAGAACGATAATTTAAATTGCAATAGTATCTTTTATATTACAGATTTTTCCAGTTAATGGGCACTGTGTTTAGTTTCGTGTCCTTGGATCTAAAACAGAAAATTGAAATTTTACAAAACCTTATAGAGAAAGATGAAAACAATTACTGCTCAATTAAAACAATGATCGAATATGAAAAGAAAAATAACCTCTTGCAAAAGAAAGATTTTGTTACTGGCTCAAGAACACTTCTTCGACTGCATAGAGGACTTGGTGTGTATTTTTTCATTATTGACACTTATAAAAAATTACTTATTAAGAATTAGAGTGGTCATAATAATCTACCTGGATTTAGTAGATTTCATATCTGAATTCTTAAGACAATTAAGTGAATTATCAGATAGCGATAATACCTCAACATCTTGTCAAGATGCATATAATATGACATTAGCAAAGCACCATTCCTGGATAATTAGAAAAGCAGCTGTTGTTGCCATGTACACAATGCCAAGTAGAGCAGTGTTATTTAAGAAGGTAAGTTTTTAATAATAATAGATCATTTTTATTGTAAAAACTTGAGTTTTAAAATATTTTGTACGTTCCTCCAAAATACTACTGATTATGGTAATAAAAGCAAATGCTTTAAAAACAGTTAATTAATAAATAAATTTATATTATAATTTACAATTAAAAATGAATGTTATTTTTATTTATTGTAAAAATTCGTAATATAGTATTATAAATAATGTTGCTTTGTATGAATTAGTAATTAATAATAAAAATTATAAGATTATTTACATATTTATACGTATTTATAAGTTGTGAAAATAATAGAAATTTTTATTTTATAATGAAAACGAATATATATATTTACAATTTTAATTTTTTTATAATTTAAGGTCTGTGGAGAAAATATTCAAAAAAATATTGAAATTTTACCAAAAATGTTGGAAGTGACAGCGCATATAATAAACAGAACTCATATTCTTTATGAACTACACAAATTACATAATTTAGCATAATAAATAATTGTGATACATTGTGTGATATAAATCTACAAATTGCATACTTAAAAAGATATTAATATTGAAAGTTGTAGTAATTAAACCATAAACATTCCATGCGCTGTTCTATGTCACGTTTAGATTATTTAATTTATATTTTTATGTGTATACTTATTTTAATTAGTACAACATAAGATTTTGTATATTATTAAATTGTTATTATTAATATACGTAGACACTTAAATTTTGACTATATTAGTAAATATTTATTTTTAATGTGTTAATTTTAATACTTAATTTTATTAGCAAAATGTGTAGATCTATTCAATTTTATAAATAATTGTATACAAAAGGTGATATTATATATTTTAATGACCTAATGTAATCTACAAATCTTTTTTATCTGTAAATCTAAAAATCAATTAAATTTTATAACTTATAATATATATTTATATTCTAATATTCAATCTGAGATCACAAGCTATATTTCAAACTACTTCACTGCATTTTCGCCATACAAAAATAAAAAAAAAATACAATTATTTTCATAAGCCATATTAGGAATTTGATTGTGACATTTAAGATAATTCCATATAATAACATATAATGACATTATTGTATTGAACTTTTATTTATTCAGTTATGTTTACTCATTAGTAAAAACTCATTACTCATCATAAAAATATATAATAATATTAATGATATCTCGTTAGTATAAACTACAGCAATACAACATATTTGAAAATATCCTAAAAATCAATTTCGAAACGTCACAGAAATAAATAAACCATATTTTAAATAATGATTATCACACGATGATTATGACAAAGATATAATTGACTACTTTGTTTTTATTAAATGACTATAATTTAATTTAATTAATAAATACAATATATAGAGCATTTTTACTTTACAATGTCCCAATTCAGTTAACTCTATTATAATTTTCTAAACTTCTATATTTATCTTTCGTCATACCTAATGATAATATCTAAAAGATTAGGAAATAGACATTTTTTCTTTTTAAGAAAAAAGAAATTTATCAACTAGTGATTAGCTCTCGACATCGTAGAAAGAAAAAAAAGTATAATTTTTGTGATTATTATTCCCAAGAAATTATTTTAATTTATTGATATTAATTTGTATATTTTAAACTACATTAGAATTATATTTATTTTAAAACTTTATTAATTTATTTCCAAATTCAATAAAAATTTGTTGGTATTTTTAATATATAAAAACTATGATACTTTTATATAAATTATCTTTAATAAATGAATTCTATTAAATTAATCTTCTAAATTCGAAAAGATTATATTGAACTAATCGTAATATTACTTATTTAATCAAAACTTAAATTTATTAAATTTTTAAACTTATAAAATTAAAATCATAATATAATTGTTTCTTTATTATAATATAATGAACTTAAAACTAAAAGTAATGTTTTATGATTTGTGATTAGAATAGAATAGAAAACACATTCAAAATAAAATTCATATGAAATATTACTTATTTACGAATAATAAAAACAGCGATTTACTTACTATAATAAACTTTATTGTATATAATTAGAAAAAAATCTTTACCTTCTATTACTTTTCTACAAACCTTGCAAATAATAGTAGAAATATACAATAGAATTTAGATTTTTGGTATTTTATTTGTTAAAATTCAATCAATAGTATAATTAAAGATAAATAGAACAAAATTAAAATAAAAATAAATTAATTTTATTATACCGTATAAGTTAATCCTTTATTGTATGAAGGAAAGCCAAGAACAAGAAGTATCAATTTATTATTTTTGAACATATCATTTATTATAAACACAGCAAATTTCAATATCACTTTAATATCAACTTTTACAATTTATAATATTGCCTGTGTATGTAAAATTAGAAGAATTATTATTTATAATAAAAATTATTTATAACTCAAAATTATATTTTTCAAATAAATTATTAAAAAATCTTCAATTTTAAATATATGTGAATATGATAGTATAAATGTAATAAAATAAAATATATAACAGATTACGAAATACGCTTAATTTTGTTCTTATACTATTAATTATAAATATTAGTCTACAATACTAGTATATATATACATATGTATGTGAATGTATTTAATATATTAAATTTATATATTACATCGTGTTTTATCAGATGGTTATCAACGAGTACAAGATTAAATTTAACATAAATGAAAAATACAATTTTTCCTCACATGGTTATTTATCCTTATTAATATTTAAATAAGGATGGCGATATTGTGGAATTATCTACATTCGTTACAGTTGAGTTTAGAAAATTATCGTCTATACGGACACCTAAGCCAAAATAAAATTGTCATCAGTCTAGTATTAAATAATAATCTGTACTTATTAGTAAATAAAACTATTAGCATATGTAAATAAAAGTTTATACTAATCAAAAAAAATTAGTATATATAAATAAGACTTATTAGTAAATAAAGTAACGGTTGTCATTGATACATAAATGTATATGAAATTATATAGGTAATACTTTCAAATATTTGTGAATAGTTTCAATCTAATTAGCAAAAAAAGAATTATTAGAATGTACAGTCATTTAAGAAGAAAAAGTCTTCGAAATAATTATATTTTCGGAAACTTATATAGAAAATTGTAGAAAAGATTCTCATTTACTTAAATAATATATGAATAAATTATAATTAAATTTATTTCGGTAATAACATGAAATAATGTAGTTTTTTTTTAATGTACAAATTATTACTAAGAAAGTAAAAAAATTTAATAATATATATTTTCTTTAATTATACTCCGATTATCTGTAACATTACAATATAATAATCAAATTCTTAAAAATCTTTAAAGAAATAAAAAAGAAAAATACACTGAAAAGATATGTAACAAAAAAAAAAGAAAGATTTACTGGCAATACTTGCGATGAAGAAACAAACAGCACTGCCAGCAAGCAATAAAAGCTCGAATAGCGATGTCCGTGATTTGTTTGTGCTTCTCGGCTGCTAAAGTACCGAGTCCGTCGATCATTATACCGATCGAGCCTGGATTCGAGAAGCCGCAAATTGCATACGTGGTGATGGCCTGTGCCCTTGGTGACAGTTTTTTCTCACTTTTAAATACTCCAAGCTTCTGGTTAGTGATGAATTCATTCACCACGGTTTTCAGGCTTATCAGGGTGCCACCTTTTCGCATTCACCCCAAGGGGCACCAATTATCCAACTCATGGGCAAAAAGGCTTTCAGACAGGCAGACAGGAGCCACTGAATATAATGAAACCAGAGATGTAATGTACAGTATAAAAAAGTAAGGTACAATTATAAAGGAAACTAAAACTATATGCAGTCGGACGTTTGAAAATTTTTTCTTTCTTTTACGAAAATTTATATATATATAATTATTTTAAAAATGCTTCTGTGTCTAATACAACTTTATTATTATAAAATTTTTAAATGTTTAATAATTCACTTTAATTCCTGAAAATATTAAGTAATTAATCAATGTACTGCAGTATATAATATTATTTTTAAATATTTAGTTCTTTATTTAATAACGATTGGAATAAATACTAGAATTATTAAAACCTAGCGCTGAGTAGCAGTTTGCAAATATTTTATGCATGTATTTATGAAACAATGCAAAATATAATGTACCTCGAAAGTTATTTGTTCATATCCAATAAGTGTGCCAAACCAAGACAGTGTTATTTAAAAATGCCACAGCGGACACAAAAGCAATAACATTTGCATTAATACTTAAAATTAGTGGAATTCCAGCAAGAGCGACTTTAGTTGCTGCATCAATAAAACTGATATTTTCTCTTGAATAATAATTATCAATTTCAATGAAATACAAATAGAGCAAGGCAAAATAGTAAAACATAAAAAAAATAGTAATATGCCATTTATATGTAATCTATCGACGCAATTTTTTATTTATCAATAGTTTAAATCGTAAATAATTTACTTAACTTATCTAGAATTTATTTCAATTAAAAAAAAATTGCATTTGAATAATATCAATTGTAGTAATTAAATTTTATATAATACTAAATTATTTTACGTTACTGTTTAACGCGATACAAGTTAAATAAGATTTAAATACTAACATTTTTAAAAGATTAATATTTTTAAACGTAATTATCCTCTTTTCGGTTTCCGGATAAAATAATTTGGAGAAGCATAAAGCAGCTGGAGCTGACATGACCGAAGCAGTAATAAGATGTAACGGATTTGCTCCGAATTTTATGTAAACAGCCATAACAGTTCCTAAAAAAAATCGTAGGTTGTATTAAAAAAATTATCTATATTAGATAAATAATATATTACATATAGCTATGCATGTGTGTAAGTATACTTGAGTAATTAAAAATAAGATGTACCAAAAACTGTAACAAAACCAGAACACATTATAGCATGAATTCCCGATATCGTTAATTTATTTATATATAGTTTGATCAATAATGGTGATTCTGTTTGGAATTAATTAAGTTGTTCACCATTAAAAAAAAAATATATATATATTTATTAAAATATAATTTATTATATGCAGTGAACTTATTTATTAATATATTAGTAATCTAATTTAAAAATATGTTTCATTCGACTATGAAAATGTCAAAATTATAAATAATATATAAATATAAATTGTAAATGTAAATTGCATTCATAACATCCTCTACAGTAATTGATCCCTTAATGTCAAATATCTTAAATTACATATACTAAAATATAACAAATAAGTACATGAAGTAAGTGAAATATTTCATTTGACATGACAAACAGCGTATTTCAGTTAAGCAATAGATATACCCCGATATCGCGTCATCATGTAATCTCGTTAAATAACCTCCTGCATTCGATAGAATTAATGTATCGTAGCAACCACACTTTCTATCGGCCATCGTTTCGTTTAACCGCGGATTCGAGAAAACTAATTAGTTATCGGAAGGTCAAGATTGACTAAGCACTCGATTGACCCAGAAGGAGGGGTCCCTCTTCCACTTATTTATCTCATCGCTTAGGATACCTCTGAGTGAGCTTACAGACTTTAGAATTACGTATAAATATATAAAGTACCACATGTATCATTACGTACATGACAGAATGCGTTTTCGCTATCTATAAAACTATACCTCAAATCTTTTGCTTAACACACAATTATATAAATATTTAATATATTTATTTACTTTTTATTATATACAAATATTTCATATCACTTATAATAATAATTGTTATATTTATCATTAATATTATTTTTTATAATAATAGAAGATTAAATACAAAATACAATTATCTATACCATTCCAAGAAATGTATTGGCAGCTGAATTTATCGATTCACAAATTGTGGTTCCCATGATTACATGTAAAATCCATCAGATATTTTGGATAACACGTTGCATAATACCCCAATAGTATAATACTTGTTTTATAAAACTGAAAAAAATATAACAGGAAGAGCCTAAAATTATGAAAAAAAAAATTAACTATAATTAAACAGAAAATTCAGGAAACTTAATTGTTATACAAATTCCTAATCGATTAATATAAAATTATGTTTATTCATAAAAATATTAAAAATAATTTAAAATAATGTAATATAATTTGTAAAATTAAAAATAAATGTAATTAGAAACATTTATAGTTTATCACCAAGTATTATATAAAAAACTGTATACACAATTTACTTACTGAATAAGCAAAAACGTCATTATTAACTAATTCTTCGGAAAATACAAAACAAGCTCCATACTGTGTATAGTTTAAAAAAAACTGAAATTTTTTTCGGAAGGCAGTCAAAAATTGCTCGACCAATAGTCCATCTAATAGTAAAAATGCCAAAAGCAAATTGAAGTATTTAACCCCATATTAGTGTACTCCAGTTAACCTTTAAATTATGGAAATTCTTATATATTGTAAAATAATAAAACAATTATTCTATTAATAATATGCCTATATTTCTATATCTAGTTTATTTCTTATCAACGCTTTTAATTTTAGTCATCATATAATCAACAATATACCTTTGACGGATGTTTTCAAAAGATCCAACCAAACCCTAAGATAATGCTAACTACAATAAAGCTTGTTAATCTATTTCTTGAATGTACCGTATCGAGGATAACAAACAGTAAAAATCCAGTAATGATTATTAGACCAAATACTATTTGTATGAAATAATACGAAGAACAAAAAATATTGAATAATTCATATATAAATAAGTGAATTAGTATTAGCTACGATTTTTTAAAAAGATTTATGAATTGAACGTCTTACCATCAATTACTAACTTTTTCCACAAAATTAAAAAAAAGTATAGCGTGTTGTACAAGTCAATAACCATTTTAAAATTACATTTTTAACAAATTTTTTTAACATTTTTTGATAAAAAATTACAAAATATGTAAACAAAAAATTAAAACTAATAATCCATATCCATGACACCATTCCAAATTATAGTAAATTGCTGGAAATAGATATTTGTAATGATAGAATAATATTATTTTGTAACATAAAAATGTTTTGTAAATGTTGAAAAATAATAGCAAAATTCAGTAATAGATAAATATAATATTAATTCTGAAAATTCTTTTACTATTAATGTATAAGAATAATTACATAAGAATGAAATCAATTCTATTTAAAAATTTTCCAATTGAATAATTCAACTGCATATAATATAACATTAAAATTAATAATTAAATATAATTTTGCAAATGCTTAAAACATCAATTATTTTTAATCAATATTCACTTTTTATGTTTATAATTTTTTATATTTTGCAATAAAAATACGTATTGAAAGACACAAGAGAAAAATTACGTTTAGCTCCTAAATTTGTTTGAATCGTTTTTCAAGCAGCAATATTATTTGAATAATATCTCACTCTTTTTAATCCAATAAAGAGTTGCAAATACAAAATAAAGAACAACAAAAAGATTAAAAATTATGATGCCAAGGTTTTTGAAACGTTTAACTTTTTTGAAAATAAAAAGCCGTAGATTATTCATCAGCCTCCTTTTTTCTTCGCTTGGCACTCTTTTCTTCTGCAATTAAAATAATAATTTGATCATTTATAAAGATAAAAATTTATTTACATATTTTATAACGTTATATTATCCAAAAAAAGAATTGTATAGTAAACTGTAAAAGTATGGATTATAATAACTTATAATTAGTACAAAATTCTCTTTGCAATTAGGAAAATTAAATATATGAAATATCTAATATACAACTACCTTGGTCGATTGAAAACCTTCCAAATGTATGGAATTTTCATCCTGAAATAAAATTTTGTAATTTTTTATTTATAATTTTTATCGTACATATTTTTTCTATTATTTTTATGTCTTATTTACATATTTTAATTTATAATCTCATAATTCATATTACATATTACATATTACATAATTCAAGTAAATAATTATTTATATGTAAATTTTTTCCATATTTTCACAATGAATACTTCTTAATTAATGTACATCATTTATAAACAAATAAATTTTAATGAGTTTTTATTTAATATTTAAGATAAACTTGCGTATATATATGATTAAAATTAAAATCTCCTGAACTAAAGAATGTTTAATTAATAATAAAATTAAGTTTCATGAAAAGATGATTCATTAATAATACATACTCATTCATTAATAAATACTCAAGTATTTATAGCAAAATATTAATGTATAAGTCAATATATTTATTAAAATATTGGATTCTAAAATTATGTGCATTTATAATTGTATCTGAAGATGTAACAGAAAATTTTGGATATTTTTTTGACGATTTTGTAAATTTCTCAGTAACAAATATAAAATTAGAATTAGTGTAACTGAAAAGTACCGTTTAAAATTATTTATATTTAGATACTATTTTCATATATAAAAATTAAAATGCTTATTATTATGACTTTCCTATCATTAATTTATATAATATTCCTTTTAAAATCGCAATGAAATATTAATAATATTGCATTAAAAAAAATCGAAAAGGTTTCCAAAAGTTCAGTTTTCAAAATCTGCCTATACTTTACATTGAAATATTCATAATATTTTAGCTGCTATTTCTTTTAACCTATTAATTAGTAATATTTAGTATTTTATATAACATTCACAGAATGGAAGTAAATAATGTGGATATAAAGATGTATCATTTTTATATAAACTGTATTTTTACGTGACCATTATAAAAATGTATTCTTGTAATATTAATAATCAGTTTTATAAAATTATAACTTTATTTAACTTTAATTAAAAATTAATTTATTTACAAAATTATTAAATCAATCGTGTAATTTTATTTACTAGATTAATAATTAAACAAATATACATGAAAAGATACATATGTTAAAAATATTATTCTTTTATTAAGTAATAAAAAAAGACGAACCTTATACTGTAATAAAATATTATTTATATAGATTTCATATATATTTTTATAGTAAAATAAAAGTATGATTACCTTTGAATATAGTTGATTTGAGATACTATTAGACATGATACTATCTCTAACTATTTATCTGAGAGGACTTCAAATTTTATTTTGAATACTATTTACGTTATACTTTATGTTACAAAAATGTTTTCCTAGTTTAAAATTGTAAGTCTCATTATTTTATTTCAACCATTCATATTGTAATCACTAGCAACATACATTTTAATCAGGTTTACCAAAACAGTTATAAAGCTTTTAATTTATCTCTCTTATGATACCAGCCGAGTCACATAGAGATGAAACAAAATGATAAAAAACGAAAGCGTCTGGGTTCTCTGCACACAATTCAGATAATCACGATAAAGTTCGTTTAATTTTAAATAAGATTGAATAAATTACTGAGGCTTTGCATTAGTTATGTACCTGTGTTATTCATTAAACGTAAATAAATCATTATATTGCAGCGTAATTGTAGTAATTTTTTGTCTTAATACTATTTTTTAATACTGTAATACTAAATTGTATATATGTTGTTGTTATATCTATCTATTTATAACTGCAACTAAAATTAAGTAATAAAATCTGTAAATATTTAACTTTATTTTGCAAAGCATAAACGTTTCAATTTTTAATTAGAAATAAAAATAATTATGTATAAATCAAATATAAAATAAATTAAATAGATTTAAAATATAGTAATCGACAGAATTATACACTTTAATAAATTTTAAAATTAAATATAATTATATATATATATATATAAATTAAATATGAAAACCAAATTACAAACATAAAAATATATTACTGTTAAAATGGGGGAAACAAACTATAAAAAATTAATTGGAAAAATTAAATTTATATTAATATTTAAAAATAAACAAAATTAGTGTAAAAATACCAAGTGAAAAAAAAAAATATATGGATATGGAATAACTTAATACTCCCGCCAACTATGACACTATAATAACTCCATTCGTTTTCAATAGAATTTTTTCAAATTATTACTATTTATAAGTTGTTATTGAAAATTATAGTTATTGTATATCAGAAAAAAATAAGAATAAAAATAAAAGAGAAAAGTTTAAATTTCACAACATCATTAATTACGATTTACATAAATTACGACAATAATTAACAAAATATTGAGTAACATTTTAAATATTTTCTCGTTTTAATATTTCTCATTCTATATTTGTTTATAAAATAATCAAAAACACTCTACTTTTGTCTAAACGCAAATCAGAAATATAAATTATTAATTTTTTTTTATATACAAAAAGAGCAGAAATAGTTAATTTTTTTATCCAAACAATTTTTTATATCCAAATAAAAATCAATTAATTTTTTTTTTAATTAAAAACAATTACAAACAATGGTTATTTTATCTATATACGCATGCAGAAAACTGAATTAACTAAATTAAGTATTAAAAATAGAATAATATTTTTACTATAATAATTTTATATATTTATTTAATTCGAAAATTTTCTTATACTTCTCTATAGGAAAAGTTATTTTCAATTAAAATAATTTCATCTATAGTATTCTTTCTATGCAATTATGAAAAGCAATTTAAAAATTATCAAACAAATATTTATATCTAAACAATTTATGGGATTATAAGTTATACGGGATTATAAGGAAATTAAAAATTCCATTTAGTGAATAGATTATATCTAAATTCTTTAATGATATTTCCGTTAATAAAAGTCAACACATATTTGAAATTTATGAACGTTATGTGGATATAAAATTGCGTTATTAATTGATTTTGATATCAATCACAAATAATTGATATAAATATAATTACTTTGAAACTAAAAGTATAGTGAAATTAAAAACATTTAATAATATATGTTTTTTTACTATTAAAAACTTATTTACTTATTTTTCAATAGATAGAAATATTTCAATTATAAATAATAATCAATTATAATAATCAGTAAATATCTGACGATTAGATTAGTATGTTTTTTTGAAAAATATTAAATTTAAAAACATAATCTTTCAATACTTCTTAAATTTTAAATATCTGTTTCACTAGGTATAAAACGAACAAATGAAAAATCAAATAATTTGTATTTTCCAAATCAATTAAATTAATTTAATGAAGTTTTGTTACTCTAAAGCCTAGTTTATGTATATAATAAGTCAGAATTCTCATAATAATATAGAAAATTTTGCAATTGGAAAAAAGAAAGCCGAATATGCCATATCAGTGAAGAAGAAAAGAAGTAGTTTTAACATGAACAGCTGCTGCGAGAGCCATTAAAGAAGGGGAGGACAAAGTCAGATACCAGAGCATAAAAACAAAATAAAAATAAAAGTACAAGTAAAAAAATTTTCAGAGCACTTGGCCAGTGAATTGCTTGTACTTTTCTTAATTGTAATATGCAGGTACTCGTAACTCCACAACAAGAAGATAAACATTAAACCATATACAAATAACATGCCTTACCTCGTCCAAATAGTATATTGGAGGATCTCATCCTTTCAGAATACTCACTATATATACCAGATGCAAACGCTCTATACAAAATAAACTATTAATAAATACGCTTTTTACATAAAACAAGGAATAATATTGTGTGTATTTCAAATTAAGGATATATGTAAATTTAATAATACAATAACTTATAAACGAATTTCAGAATTTTATTTAAGGGTATAAACGTTCGATTTCTATCATTGATAATGCGTTATTCTAAATATTAGATGTTTTAAAATTTTCTATAAAATTGTATTAAATACCAAGAAGAAATCTGACAAAATTAGTTTTATTAATATTTCAAATTTTAATACTATTAATAACACAAAATATAAAAATATAATGTCAATATTCATAGCTTTAATAAAATATTTTTAGTAATCTTGATTCTTTGTTTGAAAGAAATGAATTATCAGGTACCAAAAAAAATCTGTTGTATATAAAATATACTAAATATAATTCTAATAAATTTTTTACTAAATATAATAGAGTATTTTTGGAAAACATTTCTATAATTCATAAATTTTAAAACTTAAAAAATTTTAAAACAATAAAATATAATGTAGATTTAAATATTTAAATATTAATATTATCTATATTATTTATTTCTAATTATAAAATATAACTACATAAAATTCATTCATTGACTTGATTTATTTATGAATGCAATATTGCCTAATAATCGTTGAGTTTTCTTAAATTATTGTAATTGATTATATTCTTCTTGACCCAATACTGTAACAATGATACTCATTACATTATAAAATCATTATGATATATTAAAAGTAAGTAATTTGTATACAACTCTACTATTATTTCTACTATTTTACTTGAAAATATTAATATTATAATTTATTCAAATTTCGCAGTATATCCTTTATGAGCTCTGTTTATTTATTAAAAAAATAAAAAGTTTTTAAGAAAACAAAACTAATAACAGTCGAATCATTATAATTATAAAAATATTTACATCGACAATTAACTGATTATATATTATTAAACATTGATGTAATTGTGATTTCAGAAAGTATTGACTAATGGTAGGTAAAGACGAAGACATCCTTCACGATACAATCCCATTACGAATCAAGCACCATCTTTTGTCAATTTATAGCAATTATTAATTTGATAAAAAAATTATAAATTATAAATGTGTCACTCAAATTAAATGAAACCAAAAACGAATTGTATTTCAACTTATCATAAACTGTTCTACTTACCAATTAGTTTTATTTAAGCAAACATAAAAAGATTGGCTTAATGTTCGAAAAGCACATATTCCTATTTAACTGTATTATTTTCATAAGCTGCGGTAGAAATAAAAAATGACAAAATAATCATATATAATATTTTAAAAAGTAAGAAATGTAATATTTAAATTGAAAAGGTATAAATTTTTATACGGTGTAAATACTATTTTATGAAATTTACGAGTGAAACCTATTATTGTAGTTTTAATTCAATTTTATATTAAACTAGATGTGGTATATAATTTATAATTTATTATTTATAATGTGCAAAATATAATAAGCAAGCAGGATTTTTACTATATTTATTTAATATATATCAATGTTATTGACTAATCAACATTGGATCAATATAATTTACCTTTGATATGCAGAACTCAACTTTATAATTATAATCTGATTGTTAATTTGAAAAATATAAAAAAATTTATTGTAAATTAAATCTTATAATCATGTAAAAGAAAATTAAAAGAATTTTTGAATATTAATATACCTTTTATATGAGTATGTATTCTTTTTAGAAAAATAATTAGGATGATTATCGTTTTTTTCCTAAATATTCTAGATACAAAATATATAGATACAATTTAGTACTTTGTTTAACATATAATATTTATCATAAAAATATAATAGTATCCATAAACTAATTTTTCTATTTAAAATTTAAAATTAAAAATCAGAAGTTTTATGAAAAAAAAATTGAAATATAAAGTTATTTAGATTAGTACAAACTTTTTAAATATTATGCTATTCATTTTTATCTTTTACGAATATCAATTACATGAAATTGTAAAAAACTAATATAGACTTTTTTTTAATTTAAATTAATGAAAAATTTATCATTATTTATTAGCTTACGACTGACTATATTAGAAATACCCCTATTTTCTAATAATAATTAGTGTCATGTAAATATAAAAATTTATTATGAAATATAATCTACACTTATTTTATAATGTATAGTCTACATTACTTCAAAAAGCTCAAATTGTATTTATTAAAAATTTTATGTAAATATCTAATACGTATGAAAAGTATAAAAAAATAATGGTTGTAATAGTATAAAAAATTGTTTAATGGATTATTTATGATGCATGTTTGATATAATTACAGAATAAGAACATTATTGACGAATATTCTAAAACAGGTGTTTTTATTTAGTTTTACAATTTTCAAGACTGACTGTATAAAGCGTATATTAATCATTCTATATATTTATATAAATTAAAATTTTGATGACATCAAAATGTTAGGATTAAAACAATGTTTTATTAAATAATATATTGTGGTTTGATTTATTGTTTAATATTGTTTTACATCTAAATTCC